ATAGCTTTTAAGTAAATTGTGTCGCGAAACCCTAAGTTGGCATGGGGATTATTTGAACCCTTATCGGTATTTGGTTTTGGAATAAGGGTGGATGTGCGGGTAGCACGCAGAGAAGTTACGTACCCCTGGCAGACCGTTCCCTTGAGGGCAGACCACGGATGTCACGGCTTGGGTATATAACTCCGGGCGTGGGCATCTTTGGTAGTTTTTTGAATATTTGACCAATGGGGGTTTCCAAAATTAACCGTGGCCATGACTTAGTGGTTGTAAGTTAAACCTCTTTGGCGAGATTTCAAAGGTCATCTAAGTTATTAAAAATATTGGAGGTATTTTAATGGTGTAATTTATGTTTACGATTAATTTATTATCTCGTGATTATAAATCCCATTATTTTTCTCTAAAAAAGAATGGTAATGTTGGTTTATGTTTGCTTACGTGTGTTGCAAAAACTCATGCATATATTTTGTTTGCCCTGGCGTTTCATGCCAGATTATGTCGAAGAAGGGACTAAGGCTGAAATTGGAGCTGCTGCTAATATCGAAACCTTGGCTAACTTAGAGTCAAGATTTTATCAAAAATAATCCTGTTATTTCTTGTATAGTTTTAACTATGTTTGTGACGTTTAATGTGAACTTGTAGTTTTATTTTATTGTTGAACTTTGACTATGTAAGAATTTTAAAAATTTCCTAAATTAGTAGTTAAAATTTATCTAGTAAGTTATTGTTATTATCTTATGACGTTTCAAAAAAAAAAATTTGGGGCGTCACATTTGGATTGTGGAATGATTGATAAAATATGTATTATTTTGTTTATATACGTACTACATGTTGCATGAAATATAGACAGGTTGTGAAGAAATTACAATTTTATGATAAACACGTAAAATCATTTTTTGTGGCCGACTAAACAATTCGTACTCAAAAGGGAAGTACATATTTCAGTGACTAAAATGTCAGTAGCTAAAAATAAATTAACAAATTTCGGAAAACAATTATGGCGACTACAAGGAATTGGTAGTGCAACAAAAAGCAGACATTAGGTGATTAAAACTTAAAAAAATAATCAGATATTTGGCGACTAAAATATTTTGTAGGCCAAAACAAAAAAGCATTTGCCGACTCTAAGTTTAGTAGCGAAAAATGTGAGACTTTAGCCAACTAAATGTTTAGTAGGCAAAACAAACTATATGGCTACTACAAAGTTTAGTAGCCAAAAAGTCAGACTTTAGCGACTAAAAAATTGTAGGCAAAAGAAACAAACTTTAGGCGACTAAAATCTTAGTAGTGAAAACAATCTAACATTTGGCGACTAAAATATAATTTTGTAGCCAAAAATATTTTGATGAACCAAGAAAAACACTCTTGCCGACTACAATTTAGTAGTCAATAAAATGTGACCACTTTAGCGACTAAACTTTTAGTAGCTAAAACAATCACACCTTTAGGTGACTAATATATTTAGTAGCTAAAAAAAAATAGAGGAACAAAAAAAAATTTTGGCGACTAAATCTTTAGTAGTTAAATATACAGTAACATTTTTTTTGCAACAAATATTGTAGTTGACTAAAAAAGGTGATATTTAATTTTTTTTTCAATACTTTTAGCGACTAAAAAATTATTTGGCATTGCATTATATTTAGTGGCTAAAATAATTTTGGTCGCCAATTACCTTCCCCGACAATCCTTCAGCGACCACTCTGCGACCAAAATATTTGTCGCTAAAAATGTTTGGCATGCTAAGAACGACTAGGCTAAACATGGCTTTTTGGCGACTAAAAATTTAGGCCAAGTTTGGCATCCTCAAAAAATCTAAAAGAGTCAAAAAGTCACTATCCTATTTTAAGTCACAATCATCTATTTAAGTCACATCACCTCTCTATCACATCACTTCAACCCAACCCATACCTTAACCCATATTTATATAAAGTCAAAAAGTGGCACTTATTGAACACCTAAAACAACCCCTTAGTCGCCAAAAGTGTAAATTCTGTGTTGATACCCGCTATGTTAAAGTGTCACATTTGAAAAAGTACATTAAGAGTTTTTTAATTTTTGTAGAGTGTCACATCATACTTGCACATTGTCACGTTTGGAAAAAGTACACTAAGGAGTTTTTAATTTTTTTTAGAACGTCACATTATATCCGCCACGTTGTCACGTTTGGGAAAGGTACACTAAAGAGTTTTTAATTTTTTTAAGAGTGTTACTCATATCCTCACGTTGTCACGTTTGGAAAAGTACATTAAGGAGTTTTCATTTTTTTGAAGTGTTACATTATTAACCTACCACGTTATCACATTTGGGGAAAAGTACACCTAAGAAACTCTATATTTTTTTGGAGTAAAAATTTTAGAGTGTCACATCAATACCCGTTACGTCACATTTAGAAAAAGTACACTAAGGAATTTTTAATTTTTTTCGGAGTGGTCACATTAAATACCTGCCATATTAGAGTATCACATCATATCTTCACTTTAATAAAAAGGTATAACTGTCCACCAAAACAACTACCAAAATAAAAAATAGGACTACACGGAAAAAAACTCTCTATTGATAAGATTTAAAAGATCAATTAGAAAAAATTTGGGACCTAATTGGAGTACTTGTTGTGAGATTGATTTATTGAATAATATTTCCTTTTTTTTTTATACATTTTGTTTTATAAAAAATAAAAAAATATATTCGTTGAGGGAGATTTAACCAATAAGTCTCATATTTTGGACTTGTAATCCATATAGTCTCATATTTTTTCTAGTGATCCATTGAGTCATTTTGGATGTGTAATGATCCATTGTTCGCCACGTTGGAAGTGTCATATTTGGCAAAAAAAATACTAAAGATTTTTTAATTTTTTTAGAGTTGCACACCATACCAGTCATGTTGGAGTGTCAACATGTCACAATTTGGAAAAAAATACACTAAACAGTTCATTATTTTTTTAAAGTGTCACATCAACCTGTCACATTGTTATATTTGAAAAAATACACTAAAGAGTTTTTTAATTTTAAAGTGTCACATCATACCCCACATTGTTACATTTGAGAAAAGTACACTAAGTAGTTTTTATTTTCATTTTTTAGAGTTCACATCATACCCTGTCAGTCGTACGTTATCTATTGGGGAAGGTACACCCACGACCTATTGTCACATTTGGAAAAAGTACATTAAGGAGTTTTTAGTTTTTTTGTGTGTCACATCATAACCGCCACATTGTCATATTTGGGATAAATACACTAAGAGTGTTAGTTTTTTTGGAGTAAAAGTCTTAGAGTGTTACATTATATCCACCCGTTGTCAAATTTGGAAGTACACTAAGAAATTATTAATTTTTTTGGAGTATCACATCGTTAGAGTGTTACATTAAGTATTTGTCATATGAGGAAAAGTACACCTGGCATGTTTGTCAGATTATGGACAAAAAGTACACTGATAAATTTTTAATTTTTTTTAGAGTGTCACATCATACTTGTCATCGTTGTACATTATGAAAAAAATATAGTAATGAGTTTTTAGTTTTTTTTAGAGTATCACATCAAATCCACCATACATTGTCACATTTGAAAAAAGTACAGCCGACACGTTATCATATTTGGAAAAAGTACACTAAGAAATTTTTAATTTTTTAGAGTGTCACATCATACCCGCTACGTTGTCACATCTGAGATAAAAATACACTAAGAGTTTTTAGTTTTTTTGGAGTAAAAGTCTTGGAGTGTTATATCATACACGCCCGTTATAATATATTTGAAAAAAGTAACATTAAGAAATTTTTAATTTTTTTTAGTGTCACATCGTTAGAGTGCTAACTTAATAATCTGTCACATTAATGAAAAGGGTATAGTTGTCCACTAAAACACTAGTAAAATAAAAAATAAGACTAAACGGAAAGAAACCTCCCACTAATAGGACTTAATAGATCAATAGAAAAAATTTTGAAATTAGTTAAAATACTTATTTATGAGATGAGATTTTTGAGTCAATATCCTTTATTTAAATATCTCAAAAAATTCTTAAAATAACGAAAAAAACAAAAGGCAACTAAGCGGAGTTGCGGCCGTGACATCTCTCTCTCTCGTTTCTCTCTGCACGTTTGAATATAACGTTTGAAATACTACATCGTTTGAACATACACCTTATAAGTGTATAATCTTTTTGTTTTTTCTCGTAATAATTGAGTCAATGGACGAATAATCTTTTGTTTTTTCTCGTAAACCTAGTATGGAACGAATAGATATATATTTGGCCCATTTTACGCAATAAAAAAAAATCATCTCCTTTTTTTTGAATTTTCTGTTTTTAGTGATTATTTTTTTTTCAAAATTATGATAGAATTTTGTTGAGATGAATTTTAAAAAGTATATTTTTTTTGATTTTTTTTTTAAAAAAAAATCACTAAAGATGCAAATAAGCTAAAACGGTTTGCTTATTTTTTGTTATTTCTGAATTTTTTATAAAATTATAATTTTCCCAGTTCATTTTGGTTAAGCTGAATCTAGAAACTAAAGCATTTAATTTTTTTTTTTTTTTATAAAAAAAGTTCACTCCAATTAAACTAAACTAAGCCAAAAAAAAAGGCTAGTTGATATCTTACGTGTGATTTTGCATAATGGATTGAATTTTGATTTATATAATATATTAAAAAAAAAAATTTGACTTCTTATTGTCAAATGTGAATTGAAAGGCGTCACGTATTCTATAGAGAGAGTCCTGGGGTCGGTCGCAACTCTCAAACCCGGCAGCCAAATTGGCTCTGTCGATTTATATGCCAGAACATTTGTAATCTGCTTCATTGAAAGGTTTTGTATCCAAATCTTCAAGATATAAAGGTATTTTGTAGAAAATAGTATTCAGATTAAACCTTTTGAATTCATTTTTTTGTTGTGTTGGAAACACTAACCTAGAGTTATATCCCCTGTATTGTAGACATTTTTCCTTCACTTTCTTGGGAACCAAACACTCATAAACTTTCTCTTTTTGTCCAGAGATGGGGTATGTCGACGATGGAGGAGGAGAGGGAATCAGGCGGAGAGGTTGCACATTCTCAAAAGGCGATTTTCTCCCCGAAGAATCGTTTCAAAGCTGGGCAACTACGGGAAGGCTCTGAAGCAAACTCCGGCGAGGCTGATGGACGAGTCTTGACTCGGTCACGACTCGGCCGAGTTGGAAGTGAAGGCTCGGAGCATAACGAGATGAAGGGACTCTTACTTGGTGGGACCTCATCTGGTTCCGGCGTGGGTGCTGTGATAGGCGCTGGAATCTACGTCCTCACCGGACTTGAGGCCAAAACCGTTGCTGGACCTGCCGTCGTCTTGTCCTACGTGGTCTCCGGCGTCTCCGCCTTGCTTTCTGTTTTTCTGTTACACTGAGTTCGCCGTGGAGATTCCTGTTGCAGGTTTGCTATTCTCACTCCTCACATTCTTTTTAATTTTTTTTTTTTACATGAATTTAAAAAAATAAAATAAAAATTAAAGGTGTTATGAAAATCGTCAAAAAAAAAAAAAAAAAATTGCCTAACGTTTGAAAAATTGAGAAGCAAGCTTATTTTTCCAATTTTTTATTTACTTAAATATGAAAAGTATCTGTACCATCTGAGGCCCGATTTTTGTTTTCCGGAAGCTTTTGCCATCTCTAATTAGATAATAAAATAAATAAATAAATAAATCCATCCACATCGTCCCACACCCACGTTCTCCACAATCGAATTGGGATCCTCTCCTTCATTTCGGTTCTTCATTTCCTCCTTGCAGGGCCTTCAGACCCATTTTGAGGCCCAATTTTGATAAATCCCAAACCGCTCATATTTTTAGATTTATTCAGTATAATCATACCTGTAAAAAATCAAGTTGATCGAATATCATAAAGTATGTGTTCGGAAAATTGTTTATTAAAAATAGTTTGTAGTCCCAATTTTCTGAACGCATACAATTCTGATATCCGATCAACTTGATTTTTCACAGGTATAATATATTGAATAAACTCTAAAAATATGAACGGTTTGGATTATCAAATTGGGCCTCAAAGTAGACCTGAAAACCCCTGCAAAGAGGGAATGAAGGAGGGGGCTAAGGAGGGAATATGGACTTCTCAACACCACCCAATTCTAAACTTTTCAAAACACCCTTTTCATCTCTGACATATTCAAGACTATTGTTTTTCACAAATAAATAAAAAAACACGGCTTGCTCTTTGAAAAGTGGGTAAAAAACCCAACTTTCATTTTTTTTTTATCAATTTTAGGTTACACCACTTTTTTACATAATTTATTTATAAAAAAATAAAATTAATTAAAAATTAATTTTTTATCAACCTTTTCAAAACATGTTTCTCTGTGATTCAACACATTTTCATCTCTAATATATTTAAGACTATTGTTTTTCACAAAAAAAAAAAAAAAGAACATGGCAAGACTATTGTTTCTTTGTGATGGGTAAGTAATTTAAGAATCATTGATTTTTATATTTTCATTGGTTGAAATTTTTGTTTATTTTTGTTTTTCATATATATTCTGTAGATTGTTTAAGAATTTTAAATTTTATTTTCCAAATCAAATCAAAATCGAATTTAATTCAATTTGATAGTTAGAATGGTTGCTGGTGTTTGTGGTGGTGGAGAGAGAGAGAGAGAGAGAGCGGGGAGGTTGTGTACAACAGAGAATGGTTACTGGATTGTTGTGTGCCGTTTGATTTTCTAACAATATTTTTAGAATTTATTTTTTAACAAATTAATATAAAAAAGACTATTTTAAAACTATTTTTGTTCTCTCAAGAATAACGGCAGAGAAAAATGTAAACAAGACTATTATTTCTCTTTGTGGTAAATGATTTAAGTATCATTAATTTTTATATTTTTATTGATTGAAAATTTTATTTATTTATTTTCATATATATTCTTTAAATTGTTTAAGAGTCTTGAATTTTTTATATTCTCAGTCATAGAAGTTTTTGTTCTATTTTGTTGATCATGTTGATTGAAAAAATAACAAATAAAACTAAATAAAAAAT